ATTAATTTTGTCAAAATGGCCATATTGCAAAAATAAAAGACATACAGCAATGTCCATCAAAATATCAATGACTTTCTTCACAGAACTAGAAAAAAAAACAGTACTAAAATTCACATGGAAAAATAAAAGACACAGAATATTCAGAGTAATAAAGGCAATGCTGGAGGCATCACAACACACTATCTCAAATTATACTACAGAGATACAGTAACAAAAACAGCATAGTATTGGCATAAAGAGAGACATATATACCAATGGAACAGAATAGAAGACTCAGACAAATCCACATAGATGAAGGCATCTGATCCTTGACAAATATCTGATAATGGAATAAAATTAGAAATCTACAGCAAGAAAAATTATAAGATGCACACAAACCCATAAGTATTGAAAGATATATTTTTGAATGAGAAATGGATCATGAAAGAAATGAGGGAAGAAATTAAAAATTCCTACAATCAAATGAGAATAGTGATACCATGTACATAAATCTCTGGGACACTATGAAGACAGTTCTAAGAGGAAAGTATACAGCATTAAGTGTCTACAAAAGAAAGGAAAGAAAGGGGAAAATAGAAGGAATGAAGGAAGGAACGAAGGAAGGAAGGAAGGAAGGAAGGAAGGAAGGAAGGAAGGAAGGAAGGAAAGACAGAGGGAGGGAGGGAAGGAAGGAAAAGAAAAGAAAGAAATCCAATAAACTGTTTAAGGTACATCTTAAGGCCCTAAAAAAGCAGGAACGTATTAATTCCAAAGCAAATAGAACAAATGAAATAATTAAGATCAGAGCCAACATTAATGAAACATAATTAAAAATACAAAAAAATCAGTGTAAAGAAAAATTTGGTTCTTTGAAAAGATAAACAAGATTAACAAACCCTTAGCCAAAGTAATTAAAAGAGAGAGAAGACTAAAATCAAAAAAGATGAAGGAAAGAGATATCACAGACAATTCTGAAATTTCTGAAATCCAAAGGATCATTGGGATCTATTTATATTCCAATGAATTTGAAAATCTAGAAAATACTGACAAATTTCTAGACAAATATGACTTACTCAAATTGAGCCAATAGGATATAGAAAACCTAAACAGAACAATATCAAATAATGTCTTTAAAGCAGTAATAAAAAGCCTTCTAACAAAAAAAGCCCAGAATCAGATGAATTCTCAGCTGTATGCTACCAGTCCTTTAAAAAAGACCTAATACCAATGCTCCTCAAATTATTCCATGAAATATAAAAAAGGAGGGAACATTCCTAAATTTATTCTATGAAGCCAATATCATCCAATACCAAAAGAAGATAAGAACAACATCAAGGAAACAAAATTACAGACAATGTCCCTTATGAACACAGACGCAAAAATTTTTGAAAGCAATCTGCATTCAAAAACACAAGTTCGTAACCCACTTGAATCAAATGTATGAAATATGATATGTCAAGAACTATGTAATGCTTTGAACAACCAATAATAAAAATTAAAAAAGAAGATTATACATCATGATCAAGAATACAAGTAATAATATTTGCTCATGAGGATGTGAGAGGAAAGGTAGACTTACACATTATCAGTGGGGCTGCAAATTAGTACAACTTTGGAAAGCAATATAGAGATCCTCAAAGACTAGAAAAGAATCACTGTAGGACCCATTTATCTCACCTCTTGGTATTTATCCAAAATAAAAATAAAAGCAGCATATTGTAGTGATATATGCATACCAATGTTTACAGCAGCACAATTCACAATAGTCAAATTATGGAGTTAGCCTAGTTGTTTGTCAACAAATGAATGAATAAAGAAAATGTGGTGTATACACAAAATGGAGTTTTACGCAGTTTTAAAGAAGAATGAAAATGTGTCATTGACTGTAAATGGATGGAACTGGAGTACATCATACTAAGTAATATAAAACTGACTTAGAAAGTCAAGGGTTGCATGTGTTCTCACATATGTAGAAACTAGAGAGAAAAGGGAAATAAAAAAGGAACCTCAAAAAAAGAAGAGAAACTAACAAAGTAAAAGGACTGAGGTTGAGAGTGAGAGTCTAGTGAAGGGTATAGGGAAGTAATGGAGAATGAGAGCTACCAAATTATGCTATTTGTCCATGTACAAATATACCAAAATGAATTACACTTTTATGCATAATTACATATAATAAACTAACTTAAAAACAATAATAATAATAGAAGGGAGACCAGTAGAATAGAATAGAGCAAGGGGTTAGGGGAGGGAGACGGAAGGAAAAGGCACATACTAGGGGATGAGACTGATTAATTATGTGCCTATGTGAATGTGGCATAATGAATTGCATTATTATGTACAATTATAATGTACCAACTTAAAAAACATTTCAAATTAGGAAGTATTATGTGAATAAAAAATATACTATTAACTTTATATATGCTAAAATGAATAATTTAAATGAGTCATGTCACATTTTAAAATTAAATTAAACAGCATTATAAAATGATTCTTCTTTAATAAAATATTTGAAACAGAAAGGACATGATGACTAAAAATTTTCCATATTTAATTAAAAATCTTAATGTTCAAAAAGTTCAACAATCTCTAAATAGAATAAATACAAAAAGAACCATGTCCATATACATTATAATCAAAATATTGGAAGACAAAGAGAAAACCTTGAAAGCAGCAAGAAAGAAAAAACTGATCACATAGTAGTAAATTGTATTACTATTAACAGTTGAGTTCTCATTAGAAACAGTGGATACAAGAAGACAGTGACATAATATGTTTAAAGTGCTGAAACAAAACTGTCAACTAAAAATTTAATATCGAATGAACTTATCTTTCAAAGATGAAGGTGAACTAGAGACATTCCAAGAAACATGAAAAACTGAGATAATTGGTTACCAGCAAAAGCTGATGTAGAAGAAATCCTAAAGAAAGGTTTTCAAAGTATAATTACCTGATAGCAGACAATAATTAAAATCTACATGAAGAAATAAATCATGCTGGTAAATAAATTATGAGGAAAATTTTATAAGAGTAAAGTTGCATATTTCTTCTTTCCTCTAATTTAAAAGTAACTGTTTGAAACAATATGTATATAATTACACTGTTGTGACTGTAATATATAGAAATGTAACATGCTTGACAATAAGAGTATAAAGGAGTAGAACGAAAGCAAAGGAGTTGGAGTAAAGCAATGACATCAGAGACATGAATCCATCGGATCCATTGAAGGTAACTAGTAGTAGTGAAAAATAAGGCTAATACAACAAATTATAAACATGCATTTGCACTCCTTTCTTCTCACCTCTTTTAAAGATATAAAATAATTCCATAAAGTAATAATTGTAATAATGTGGTGTTAAGTATTTAGTATAGAAACATAGTTAGGATAGAATTAATAGCACAAGAATGGTAAGGGAACAGAGTACTAAGATAGTAACATTTGTACATCAAATTGAAATTAAGTTGGCATAAATTTTAAGAAGATACTGAGTAGATATTTATATCTATGTACTGCAAGTCTTAGAGCAACAAAAAAATCATTAAAAAACAATATAATGTGGTAAATATTAGTTTAGAAATTTTTAATTCCAAAAAAAAGAAATCTGTGAGTGACAGTGGAACCAAAAGGACATGTGACATGTAGAATATAAACAGTAAATAGCAGATGTAAATGTAACTATGTCAATATCAACAGTAAACATAATTGAATCAAAAGACAGCAAGCATCTTCTCCATGTCTTCACATGGCCTTCTCCCTATGCATATCTCTGGGTCCCAGTTTCCCAAGGTACAAGACCTATGGGATTAGGGACCACCCTAATGACCTCTTTCAATTTGATTATTTCTATAAATACCCCATCTCCAAAAAGATCACACTTTAAGGGACTAGAGTTTAAGAATTCAACATATTTGGGGGTAGGAGGATATAATTCAATGAACAACTGGTGCCTTTCGTTATTATTCTATCTAAATATTACCATAAAATGGGAAAATTGCTGTTTGAAGTCAGGTCAAAATAGGTAACTGTGATATGAGAAAAGAATACAGAGATCTGAGATGTCTGCATAAGAACAGCAATTTCCTCTCCTCTTTCATAATTTCCCTTTTTTCCACAAAATACTCTGCTTGAGACACCACAAAACCAAGAAAGTCCAGTGTAGATGAGAGTCCCTGCCCAAAGCAGAACTTAGGGCACTTCTCTTGAGTCATCTTGGTAAAGGCTGGCCCTAATTCTATTTGTATATGGCTCAACCTCAAACACCAGCTATAGATGAGTACTTTAATTTAGGCCAGTGAGTGGCATTTGTGGTCATCCTCCCCTGGAGAAACCTAAAACTACAGTTTCTGGCAAACAGACAGCTACAAGTATGTCTTTACTTAAAGGTTTTCCTTAGGAAGAGTGAATGACTTCTTTCATAGGAGAAAGGGCATTTAAAAGTTCTAGGCAATCCTAATATATAGAGAAAACCAAAGTTATATGTCATACCGTAAGTTTATGAATATGTCTGTCTATTGTGACAATCTCTTAGTCATACAATCATAGAGAATTAAAATGTTGATCCTTAGACAAAGCACCCACCACTGTGAAAGGAAAATGGCAAAATCCTGGTGCTATTGATGATAAATAGCCTCCTTCTCTATAAACGAGCTGAGAAATCCAGGGTAAAAGCTGCAAATTCATGCAATGAATTCAGACAGATTTAAATTTCACATCTGCCCTGGTGGTCAACATATGAGCTGTCTGTATTCAGGGTAAAGGCTTTTTTTTCCTTCTTTTTTTTGGCAAGAATACTGACTGTTGAATTATTTGCCTTGCATATTTTTAATACTTGAACCAGTTTATATAGAATATCTTTAAACAGATATGCATTTATTTATCTTCAGAGAAAGAAGTACTCACTTGACCAGATAAAAGAGTAGAGGACAGCTTCTCTTTCAACCCCTCCCAGTTGTTAGTGAAGATTATGAAGATTTTCTTTATCCTGTTTTCAATTCATTGGTAGAATAAGAAAATGTATACAAACCTCTCCCAAACTGGAACCTCTCAATGTGAATGTTTCTGGAAACTGCTTTGCTGTACAGACTCCAAACTACAAAATCAGTTTCCCAGAAGGTGTTCCTCTTATATGTTATTCAGCACATGGTGTGCATGACTGGAAAGAAAACAAAATTTGGATTTACAGAGGCTCAGATTCAAATCAAAAGGCATCATTTATCAGTTGCACCCTTAGACAAATTCTTTCACCTGTCTGATCCAGTTTTTTTTATTTCTAAAATAAGATGACTACTATCCATATTTGGGGAAATAACAACAACTACAAAACCCCAAGAGCTGTGGTGTGGAAGGAGAGAAAATGCTATTCTTAAGACAGCTGGAGAGTAGGTAGTGTGGGCATTCTGCTGCTCTGAGGGAAATTTTGTCTAGGAGGTAAAATGGCAGTATTCAAAGCTAGAGGAAGGAAAGTACCTTTTACTGAGCATCTCTATGTACTAGGAATATGGTAGGCATACTTGCATAATGGAACTCATTTGATTCTCACATAAACCCTACTGTAGGGATACAATTCTATTGTTTAGAGCCTAAGTAAAGTTAAATAATCCAAAGACATAGAATTTATAAGATGTGGAACCAGGAATTAAAATTCCATTTGGCTAACTTCAAAGACTGTGTTTTTTTAAATATCAAACTGCATTAAATGATAATATCAATAAAAATAAAATCTTGACTCTCAAGTGTTCAAAGGGAGGCTGGACCTATGTTCCTAAAACCTGGTTTCTGTGGGTCAGTCTTCTTTCACCCAGACCCCACTTTTCTCCTTCGTTTGCCCTACTGCACATTTGGCTGCTATTCATCAAGTGATCCTAACTCTGTGCTTCTTGACCCTTGCCTTTGCAATCTCCTGTCTGCAGTTTTGAGTAATCCTTTTGCCTACATGGTCTCTTCATTCCCATTTGAACTCTTCTGTTGTAAAGTCTTGATCCTTTCAAGTTACCTTTGAAAAACGAAGGCAACAAGAAAAGGTTTTGACCCAGAAAAGGGGCTTTACATCTTGCTCACTCTTATTCCTCTCTGAGACCATTGCACTTTCAGGAGATCTTATTTGAGTATCCAAGCTGGCTTAGGGACCTCCTTACTTGTTCCTTAATCCTCCTGGCCTGACCCTGTTATGGCTCTTAGCAAACTCTGTTAGATTCCACTCATTGACGTGACTGTCCCCTCCTCCAGAGTATAAGGCTTGAGGGAGAGTACTATTGCTGGCTCCCTAGCTTTTTATGCTGCACTTCACATATCAAATAATAAGCACTTGTTGAATAAACAACTTGCTTTTTGTGCAGCATTAAACAACCTACTGCTTGGTACTGAATGCTCATTTTTAGATCAGCTGCATGGGTGTCACTTACATACCATCACACCAATGGACAGTTACTTAAGCTTAAGAAACAACACCATTATATCCATAAGGATTTATTACCACAGTTCCCTAACTTGATAACAAGTGAAGTTATTTTAAAATGGAATTTGGCTTCGTGGCATGGTGATGTATGCCTGCAATCCCAGCAATTCAAGAGGCTGAGGCAGGAAGATCACAGGTTCAAAACCAGCCTTAGCATCTTAGCAAAGCTCTAGGTAACTTTATCAAGACCTAAGTGCCCTGGGGTTCAATCCCTAGTACCAGAAAAAAAAGAAGAAGAATAGTAAAAGACACATAAAATGGCTTTTGGTGATCATATAAAATTAATAATCAAAATATGAAGAATATTTCATAAATTGCAACACTTCAGAAGTTAAAAGCTGAGTTCAAAGCTCTCATCCAAAATTTTTATGTTAGCTTTTTTGCATGAAGCAAACACCTGGTTTGATTATGAGAGTGTCCTTAGTTTAATTTGCAGAAATGTCCAATTTGTTATCACTTACTTCCTTCCCTCTATTCTTTTTTTAAACCACTACCTATCTTAGATATTCTCCAAGTAATAGATGCAACATTATCCAAAGTTTATTCAAACTTATCTGAACCTTTCGGGGCTAGAAATTAGGTGGGAACTGTTTTTTTCATGAGATTTCTAGTGCTTTTTGGCTTTGAAGAGCTGGAAATGCAACAAGAATAGCTTTTCTTGCGGTATTTTGGTTTCTACTCCCAACCAAAACCAGGAAGTGCAGAGATGCACAAAAATTAAAAGAAAGGGGGAAAAGTTAACTCAACTTTTTGAACTTCAAACATGATTTAGGTTCAATTTCAGTTTAAGGCAAAGGTTCAACTAAGATCTTGTTTTATCCAAACCACTTGGCCTTTCCATTGAAATAACTGGTCAGCTTACATATGGAATTCTTCTCTAATGTAAGGAGAAAGGGAATTACTTTCATCATTATGTCAAGAGGATATTCTATAGCATTATTGCTGTGATTATAGTTTGCAGGACATGACAGTAGTAAAAGTGAAAGAGGCCTATGAATTAAAATACTGTATTTTTCAGGACAAAATACAAAGATGTTTGATTGGTTAGCTACATATCCTAATATATAAAATATATATTGCATTATATATATATTGCATTATCTATATTGCATAATATGTATTATGCAATATATATAATGTAGGGGTAGGAGGACATAATTCAACGAACAATTGGTGCCTTTCATTATTATTCTATCTAAATATTACCATGAAATGGGAAAATCACTGTTTGAAGTCAGGTTAAAATAGATAATTGTGATATGAGAAAAGAATACAGAGATCTGAGACGTCTGCATAATAACAGCAATTTCCTCTCCTAACTCTTTCACAATTTCCCTTCTTTCCACAAAATACTCTGCTTGAGACACCACAAAACCAAGAAATTCCAGTGTAGATGAGAGTGTCTAATATATAATAATATATATATTAGACACACACACACACAATATGACTCTAATGAGATGAATTTGGTCCAGTCTGAATTTGCCAATTTGTTCTTTGGGAACATCAAAATAAAAGACAGATTACTCTGCTAACACTATTGTTAAGAGCCAAAAGTTTGCTGCTTCATTGATCTGATTGGTTAATGAGTAGATCAGGAAGATGAGGAGAATTTTACCTATACCATGAAGGAGGGCAAATGAGATTTTAAAAGCAACTGATAAAACCATCAGGATAATGAGTTTTCAAATTCTTAACATTCTATTCTACGTTTTGAGACAAAAGGTGAGCACCAAATTCTATCCATATACAGCCAAGATCAGAAAAAGAGTAGGAATTTATGGATGGTAGAAAAGCCAAGTTTTATATAAACTGTGAGTGAACACAAACAAGATTCCAATATTCAGGAATAATTGGTAGCCTGAGAAGAGTTTTCAGGCTAGATTTATTAGCTGTTCTATAACTGGAGAATAACTTGACTACAGGAACCTATTTGCCTAACAAACGCCAAAGGAAATAAATGGAGCTATTTTTCTCTTAGCCTGTGTCTACACAAAAAAGAAGCTAGCCAAACAACAAGCAAAGTGAGTCCATTCAGTTAAAGAATGTCCATCAAACCTGTTGCTTGGTTCTGAATGCTCATTTCTTCAACCAGGTGCATGGTTGTCACTTAGACACTATCACACCAAAACATCTACACATTATGGATTTTTAAATATAATAAACCATGTAAAATTTGAATCTTGAGTTTTAATACTTGGTAAAAGGATGCAAATAAGAATGATTGTATCAGTTATCCAACAAATATTAGCTTCTCAGTATAAAAGCCCACTGAATTTATTTTGTTCTTTACATTTCGCATACTTCAACTTTGGTTTTAGTCCCAAAATATTGAAGTGCTAGATATTTATGCATGTTTTGGTATTAATATTTTAGTTTTTATGTCTTCAAGTGGGGGATCCCTTTGAACATTATTTTGTAACATATGTAATAACTTGTTTGAAATACAACTTTTTTTGTATCTCAAAATATTTGACTGGATAGCTATGGAGTTTATTTTTACCAACTATTGCCAACATTTTCAGTGTAGCTGCTGATAAAATTTTAGTTATGTTCTGAGATATTTCTTATGATTTAATATATGAGAATATTTCAATAATCTTTGATGTACTAAAAATGTAAGGTAGATTATTAGCATCTATGATCATGTTTTTTAGTATATTATAATAATATACTAAATTAAGTTTGGGAAAACCCATGGCAGTTTCATGCTGAATAATAGTAAGGGGTATAATTTTCTAGAGTTGGGGGAATGTTGATGTGAGTAAGCAGGATTATCAGCCAATTGTCTCTGGTTATTATGCCAAGCAAAAAGGCCTCTAGTATGTTTTGGAGTTGTTTCAGAAATATATGGTATCTTAGTATCACATAAAACACAAGAGGGAAGGATTACAAAAGCAGAGAAATTTCCTAAAGACAACTGAGCAGTAGATGAGTTGGATATAGACTCTTCACTTCATTAAGGCCTCAGCTCCATTCTGTACAATGTGACTCTGAATTAGCTTTACAATTTCTCTGCCTCTGTGTGGAAATGGAAAGCAGACCTCTTGTAGAACCGTCTTAAGTGCCAGGTTAAAAAGATGCCAGACTTTTCAAGGAAAGTGGATTTCCCTTGTGTGTTCTGGCTTACAAAATCTGTCTCTTTCATTTTAGGAATAAAATTGTCGCACCTTCTAAATAGTAGAATAAGCCAAACTCAACAATCAAAATCTTGTTTTTCTATGAATGATCCTTACCAGTCCCTTGAGAAAGAAAGTTGTGTAGAGAATATCAATGTATAAATAAAGAACAAAAAGACTGTCTCATCTTATTGCAGTCCACCGGCTGCCTCTATTGTGAAAATAGATGTATATTTTTTTTATTTAGGACACTAAAGGCTGGTAGAGTAACAGAATCTTAAAAGCCTCCTGTTCAGAATGGAAAGCAGATATGAAACAACAAAGGGAATGCTTCTACCCATGTATAACTCAAAACTAACCAGATACAAAACATTAGAGGTGAAGGACACTTGAGCCTCTTAAACAATTGACTTCCTTGAGGAACTTGGCTGTAACATAACTCAGTTATATTGATGAGTTTATGAAACTGACAACTTCCTCCTTAAAAATCAGACAAAGTATTAATATCTTATGCTTCACATTGTAATTTCCCAAATAATTTTCATTCAAATGCATGTGCATGTGTGTGTGTGTGTATGT